GTGTCATTCAGACCACATTTAATGATACTTGGAGAATTGACCATAAGACACCGTATTGAATGAAGAGTTAATGTACTATATCTAGTGAGAATGTGTATACATATTTTTTTTTATCAAAGAAAAACAAAAAAATGATATATGACATCTTTTGTTATATTTTTTGTCTGTCATGAAATTGCTATTGGCTTCTCGAAAATCTAAAACATTGCTTTATCTATATAATTTATACAGATTTACAGTTTAGTATTAATAGGAGATGACTAGCAGCTGTCTCGACTAATTTAAGTTTTTTTATTTTTTTTTCAGTTTCACACAATAATTAAGTGGGAGGAAATATTATTATATTAAGTTGTATGTATAACACTTTATGACATTGTTAATGTTAAGTAATTATGAATATTATCATCTTATTAAGTCCTATTAGAGATATTAATAAGATATCACTGAATATATATATATATATATATATATATATATATATATATATATATATATATATATATATATATATATATATATATATATATATATATATATATATATATATATATATATATATCGTTATAATCTTATGAAAATTAAACAACCTTTTATTATTAAAATTTTCATTACTTAAAATATTTTTTTATTTTGTTAATAATTATTATAAAATTTAAGGCATTATGAAATAATTAGTCTATATAGAAAATGTATTACAGTGTTAGTCTAAATATTATACCACATGCTAGATATTCACAACAAATATAATTAATTAGAAATAAAGTCGTTGATTACATAATGAACGACGTAGAGGAGTAGTGAGAGGAACACCGTCTTGAATGTTCTTCAACTAGTTATGGTTTATGTATTAATGCATCTGCGAGTCACTGTTAGTCATAACCTTATACAGGAGGGTAGTTGATAGGGGCAGTGAGGTGAGGAGGGAGGAGCAGGAAGAGGAGGAAGGGGAAGAGTAAGAGGAGGAGGGAGGATAGTCAGGAAGCAGAGAAAGGGATAATAGGTGAATGAATGAAAGGTGAGAGAATGGGTTGAAAGAAGCAGACAAACGAAGAGAAGAATGGATAAGAGAGAGGTACAACAGGTAAAAAAAGAAACCCACGAAACGAAACAACCGAATAAAATAAGAAAGAGAATAAATAAACTGAAAGAAAATATTGATAAAATAACAGACAGCATTATTTACCTGAAGAAAATTAACAGGTTGGGAGAGATGTTTGGGAAGTGGCTGAAGTCACTGAGGGTTCCTGCAGGCGCACTATATATATGTATATATATATATGATATATGTATATCAATAGGTAAAGGTCTTCTCATGAAGGAGGCGTGGAAGCTGGACCAAAACTCAGGCTGGAACAATATACCCAATGGAGAAGGCAAACAGAGGTGTAGAGTCCCAAATCAGGTGTTTAGGAGAGCGTAAACACCTCCTTCAGCGTAAGACCTTCTTTCATAAGGTGGGTGTTGGGACGAACCAGAAGGTGTTGGGGCATGGTGGAATTATCCTCCAAATTCTTTACGGTCGATGAGTAAAAAGTTTCAAACTTAAATATCTCTGACCTTGACGATCTTGGTGGGAGACGTCATCATGCCGCAGCACCTTCAATTACGCTTGAATCAGGATCTTGACTTGTAAAGGGAGAGCGTTAAAGGGGGAGGGGTCAGTCCTGCGTAGTAATGGCCCGATTATAACGTTATTTTTGTTTTGTGTTGAAGACATATCGGGAGGGTTACAATCAGCCCATTGCTACACTGGAGTGCTGGACAGCTCTCTTGCCTTTACACGGCCAACTCCTCTGTCTCATCTGTTCTCAGTCCTATTCTGCCACAACACCGTAGGAGAACAAAAGGCAACTGTCGCTATACCACGCGACGGCCAAGTGTTCCGACAAATGGTGACAAAGACCACGACTTGTGAGCTGTCATATAGGGGGTTGGTGTTCCAATAAAGCTCATTTTCCCCCCGCGGGGAGACTAAGAGCTTTATTGAAAAAAAAATTGCTCTGCCTCGTTAGCTCTTCACCAAGACATGATCTCGTCACGTCACTTAAAAAATAATAATAATATTGCTGGGAAGCCACTTATGGTAAGAGAGTAAGAGGATAGTGAGGGAGTATAGAGGTGGCATCAAGGCCTTAACAAACACAGAAAACGTTCATGCCTTATACGCCATTCCAGCATTAACCATCATAGTACCATATCGGTGTTAAATATATATGTATATATATATTTATATATAGTCTCTGGTACCCCCCTACCTGTGACAGGGGTGGCGAACGTCCGGGCCGTACATAGATGGTGGGTAGGGAGGCAGGAGAAGCTGGTGGGTGTAGTTATACCAGTGGGTGAGGGAGGAAAGGGGTCGAGCTATGGTGGAGAGGAGAGGCGTGTGTGTGTGAAAGTAATAATCCCACTATTAGGAGGTCACTTGATCCCTTGTCTCTACCTGATGAACATAAAGGCGCTCCTCATTCCCAGCAGAAGATCTCCAAAAGATTTCCTCCAAGAAGAAGCGCTTAAGGCACTTCTGGCGTATAGACTCTACAGTTTGAAGAGTTAAAAAAATGGGTGGGTTGGGTTGAGAGTATGACCAGAGGGACGGTGGAGGAAGCAGGGATGTGTGGATCTGTTGTGATGATAGTGGGAGAGCGGAAACACGGACGGAAGGCAGGAAGAAAGGAAGGAAAGAAGGAAGGAAGGAAAGGAACGAAGGAAAGAAGGGACGAAGGAACGAAGGAACGAATGAATGAACGAAGGAAGGAAGGGTGGAGTAGAGGTTAGTCGGGTGTCGGCAAGATAATCCACAGTTTATCTCAAAAGGCCCAAAGTCGGTCACCCCGTCACAGATGGAGAGTAAATAGAATTGTTGACTCTGATGGGAGATTGAATACTCTACCTAACAATGGTATCGCATCAGATACTTGAGGCAATTTATCCGCTACAACAGTCATGAAAACCGTCAGAGAAAGCAGGATTGTGATTTCTGAAAGAAAAAGGAAAAAAGATACACCATACATGAACTTCGAAAATTGGGGGGAGGGGTTTTGGTTCAACCGAGAAAAAAAAACAGTCATGAAAAATATATTAATTGTGGTTTAAGAAGAACGTCAATTTGCAGAACCAGTGTGGAGTAAACATGAGCACTCGATCACTATGCGAGAATATAGATAATGCATATGGGTTATATTGAGTTGAAAAAAAGAAAAGAAAATATAACAAAGAAACAGATGGATAAGGTTTTGGTGGTGCGTTTCCAAATATAAATATATATAACAGGTGTCAGTATTTAACACTCTAAAAAAATATATATAGACTTTTATTATGGGGGATAAAGGGAGCAACACGGATTAAAAAAATATGACATGGAACATACTGATAAAGAGGAAAAGTGCATTGCCATTTTCAGAGATTCTCCAAGTATCACAAGCCTCCTAAAAGTCCTGGAGTTAAGTCATTATTTCTTTTTCACACTAAACATTCATGTTGGGTGAAGTCCTGACTGTATTGTCTTGTGGCCATCTTCAGTATGGGTAACAATACTTACAAATTAAAACTAAGATTAAAGAACTAAGAGACAAATTGAAATAGTGAAAACTTCTTTTTTTTTATAAAACTGAGTTCCGTCTCACTTATTAAAGTATCTGACGTGTGGGGATAAATCAAAATTACAAATAATACTAATGATATTTGACAGTAATAATAATAAAAGTATCTACAGTCATTGGTGTGGGCTGCTGATCTACTTCATAAATAGAAATAATTATTACGACTCATGAAGAAGTGGACCAATAGGTGTAGAAGGATATGATGACGTATGGTAGCCGCTAAGTCGTCTGAAAGAGGTAATTGGCTGAAGGGACTCATGACGTATCTATGACGTAAGAACGCATTAGTGACGTAACATGACGACTCAACGGAGTGGAAAATTAAAAAACGGACAAATAAAATAAGTAAATAAATGACAATGAGTGAATGTGCAAAATGGTGGAGTGATCAGTTGTTTTTTCCTGATCCGTTTATGTAATATAGACGGCGAGAGAGACAGAACAAGCTACTGGCTACGTTGCTGTTTACATACATATGAGAGGAACAGCATCGGAAGTCTCCGGTATATTTTCGGTCACAATGTTTAGGAAAACAGTTAGCGAGAGCAGAATGGTGACGCCTGAAAAGGAAGAGTTGGGCGTGTCAATGCTATTGGTTAACATTCTCCCCCGGGGAGGAGGAGATGGTGGTGCTGGGGGAGGAGGAGGGGAGGAGCAGGGGAGCAAAATATTTACGTCAAATATACCATCCGGGGAGTAAAACGGTGAGGGGGGGGGGAGGGGGCGGGATTGGGGGAGAGAAGTGAAAAAGTGCATCAAAATATATATTCCGGGGAGTCATAAATATGGGATGGGGCGATATTCGCTGTAATATAGTCTGCGTTTTATATATATATATATATATATATATATATATATATATATATATATATATATATATATATATATATATATATATATATATATATATATATATATATGAGGGGAGACTTGATGCGGTTACCAGCGTAGGTATATCAAGAAGGGGACAGATATATGCAACAAATATATTAATATACATACAGTATATAATCCGTGAAATATACAGGAAGGGAATGTTAATACTGCCGGAAATATATACTTGTACTGGTGAATAAAGAAGAATCTCATAAGACGCTGCATATTAATCGCAGGATGATGAAGGAGACTGACACACGCCGAGGGCCAGTTACTCCTGAGGGGGGTGATGGAACACAGGTGTCCCTCGTATCGTCCACAACATTACCCAGAGAAAATTATAGTCACAGCAACACACCTGGTCGTCTCTTCTCATTAGTAAGTTATCTGTACATGTGTTGTGGAGGACTTAACTAAAGACTCTTACGGCATCTTTAAAATGTTTTCTATAAAAATCCTCCCAATAAAAACAATAAAAACATATAATGTTGGTGGATTATTATCTCCGTGAGACAGATTTATTTTTAGATTTATATTAGTTAGTTGTAATATAATCCTCCAAAACGATTATTTATAGAGTAAACCAAGTTAGAGGTATAGAAAGTGAAGTGTTTCTCTTGTCGTGTTGTTTAAGCTGAAATAAAATATTATGAATGAAAGTCCACATACTGAATGAGTCCTTGAGGGTAGTGATTAGTGCCACTCATTATATATACATACATACATATATATATATATATATATATATATATATATATATATATATATATATATATATATATATATATATATATATATATATATATACAAAAGAGAAGGGCATACCATATAAAGGATTTATACCCACGTACAAGTATAGCTTGTTCACAGTTGTTGATGACGTCAAAGACCAATGTTAGGTTCATTAATTAAGACCAAATCTGATGCATATTTATTTCAGTGTGTGTGTGTGTGTGTATGACTGTATGTTTGTTTGTGTATGTGTATAAGTATGTATGAACCCATATGAGTGCATGTATTATTATTTTCACGAATTTAAAAAAAAAAAAAAAATAAATAAATCAGACGTATTCATTGACTTAAACTGATATACGATGATAGTTACCCCCAAACACTAACCACTTCGTTCAATCATTCCGTTAAAAACATTTATCACATTAAGTTACCTTTTTTCTACCTAAATACGGGTTACGGTATTGCTTTACACTTACAACCGTATTCTAACCCGTTTTTAGAAGGATAAGTTCATCAGTTTTTATAGGGTGGAGGATGTGCAAAAGCCGACACTGAAATATAGTACACGTACAGCCCACACTGATTGTTTTAACCTGGATATAACAAAGGCGTGATTTATATAACACGTATTTAAAGTATTTCTTATAAAACATCAACTCTGGCTGAACAATAAGGAACAAACAATGCACTAGTTACTTAAAGTTCCGGTTGGTTACATTAAATTATCATGATCATCAACATCATCATCATCATCATCATCATCATCATCATCATCATTATACCGGCAGAGGGGGTTCAAATGGACGCTCTACAAGACAACAGTTAAGAGGTCCATAAGCACTGAGAGAGTATACATTGTTCCTTTCCTCCCCCATGAAGTCATGAACGGAGACGAGAAGAGAAAGACTTATCTCCTCGTGTGGACTCTTCTCAACGACACTCACTCGGCTTTGGTTACTTATCCGGCTCCTTCTTCTGATTTATCTATGTTAGAGAGCCGGATGTACGTACGTAGTATATATACATTTTACAAGAGACACGGAACTACTAAACCTGCCTATTCAAATGTACAGTCCCCTTCACTAGTGTGTTTACAGGGGCTCGTCTGGTTTTATGCAGTGTGGCAGCGTTGTGTTTGTTTACATTCGACAGAAGGAAACTCACAATTATAAACAAACTATGAAACCAAAGTAAAACAATATTAGAACAAAAATCTCAATATATAGATTTGTGGAATGTTTATATGACAAACCCCTGTAAACGCACTAGTGAAGGGGACTTTACATAAACCCTGAGGATCTTAATCTAGGTAAGGAGTCTGTGTCACGGTCCTATATCCAGCCATACTATGACCAATACTGTGACGAAGGCTGTTTATCTCTTACAAATCAGGATTTCTAAAGACGATAATCTATAAATCAGATTCGAGTCGGTAGTCACTCCTCTTCTCTGTACCATTAATACCGACATGTAACTTTCCCGTGAAGGAGTTTATATTTGTCGTTTAATAAAAGTAACGCGTCTTAGTTGTCAGAGCACAGTCAGTCTTGGTGTGGGTGTATGTGTGTGTGTTGAGCTTCAGACCATCGCGGGAGTGCACAAGCTCAGAGCCGCGGGTATCCCAGGAGGTCTTGCCAAATTACTTCGACTGAGGAGGAACACACAATGGGCCAATTTTCTCTCAAATTTCTGGCTGGTCCGCCTCGCCTCAGACGTTTGTGTGAGAAAACAGCTGATTAAAGGTATACAACCTTCACCAGGAGAGGAATTGAATGGCATAGGGAGGAAGGGATAAAGGTTATGAGAGGAGGACGAAGGAAGAGATGAAGACGATGAAGAAGAAAAAAGAAGCAGAAGAAGCCAGTGGTTGAAACAGGCGGCTCCTCCTCGCTTACGTTGATTATGGAAAAAAAACTTTGATGAGAAAATTTTTTATTAATTAAAGTAAAAAATCATCAACTTAAGATGTAGTATTGTGTCATTATATTGCCTTAAGTAATGTTCCAGGATTTAACAAAAGTCTTATGAATATAGTGTATTATTTCTGTCTAATACGTAATTAATTAATTATTAACAGCAACATACTTTGGTGCTTCTAACAGTGAGAGTTACAGGACACTAACACTAGCCACATTCTAGGTGTCTACAGGAGTGACTGTGTAGTTGACTGAGTCCACTAGGTGACGTGTGGGAACTATTGTGCTCACACCACATCTAACGTTTCTTTATCTGCATCAACGATATTTCACTTAACTTCTTATATTTTACTTCCTACAGTTGCATTATGAAGAAAGGGATCAAATAAAGGATATATATATATATTGGTTAACTGGTTCATAATCAGATGACTCTTATGAGTTTATATTATTAATTTTGAGAACTTTTAACAATAAATCCTAATGATAACAACAGAATGTACAGTATATCTTGTATTGTATTCAGTACTTAAGGACTGAGAACGACTGTATCATAAACTGTAAAACATTGTCATATTGTCACAGTGTCATGAAATTTATATTATTGTTGTGTCATAACCTTTCATTTACTCTATCATCTTTTATTTTACGTGTTTGGTATTTCACTTAGTTTGAGTAAGTCTTATTTACTCTCGAAAATTCCTCAAAAGTTCAATTAAAAACAGTCTTTGAGGGAGCGGCAACACTTACCAACAACCACAAAAAAGTTAAATTAAATTTGTGGAGTCATTATTTCTCTTGTTTAAGTTCTAAGAAACTGACAGATGAAATTACTGATATATGAAGAGCGAACCTAACACTCAGGCCACAAAGTGAAGCGCCACTACGAAACACTAGACACCAGTTAGTTATTATAGATCTTTATAAAGACGGAGGGAACTTTCTAACTTGAGTTTCTATGATATATATATATATATATATATATATATATATATATATATATATATATATATATATATATATATATATATATATATATATATATATATATATTATTTTACAACAAAATAACTTTCAAAATTATTCAAATTAAAACTATTTAAAAAGGCAGATATAGAATGTGGAGTAAACTATACCATGTGATGGGGAATCTTGCCCTGAGTTGAGGTATTACTAATTATTGCTTAATTAACCTGACTGTGAACTAGGTAAAGCAGTATATATATATATATATATATATATATATATATATATATATATATATATATATATATATATATATATATATATATATATATATATATATATATACAGTATATGATCACTGGAGAGAGAGAGAGAGACAGTAGATACAGGCTATTCCTTACATGAAGTACAGTACGTAAGGCACAGAAGTGCACTGTAAATAACAGAAATAATCATAAGATAACAATACACATCATTCCTATAGTTATTATATTACGTTCTTCAAGTGTTTAGTTCCCTCTTTATTTGCACTTTCTACTATTTGTACTTCGATTATTTATACAATGGTCAATACACAATAATTACGATGTTTATTTTAGCAAGAATAGGACAAATTATATCAGCTCCACATATCTGATACACTTAGTAGAGCAAACCTGTATGAAATCTGTGGTAAAAAATAGTAAATAAACGATATGAAATAACACATAATAACACATGTTAAGGATGTATTAGGATAAATTTGTAACAAAAATCCTTTTTATATTCCCTAAGTTACCCAGTGATTCAAAAAATCAAAAGAAAACGAATCAATCATTATTTACAGAAAGTGGGAATCTTATAATTGTTTACCTTCTCTTGCAGATTGATCGGCGAGGTCTTACCTAATGTGAGCTTCTCCCCTGAGTCTGGGGGCAGAGTGAACCCCAACAACGCCATGGACGAGATGAGGACGCAGGGCATGATGAGGTTGCTGAAGTAATAGAGAGTCCGTCGTCGTATATGGATCTGGAAGGTGATGTCGACGTAGATCTCGGGACAGCAGGTGTAGGAGAGGGTATTTCGCTTCCCTGGCACGGCTGTAAGGGTGAGGTTTGAAGAGGGCACTCAGTTATCACTCTACCAATATTTTCTCAGAAGGAAAACACTTCCTAGTTATTTTCATTTTTTTTTAGAATAAGTTGGTATTGGACAGAAAAGACCAGTGGTGTTAATGTGTAACACTAAGACTGAGTCATTCCCCTAAAACTAGAGTGTGGTCTTAACTATCACTTATTAATATTACGCTGATTTATTTATTTGTATTTTTTTGCGTGTTTGCGGAGGAAACGTATTTTTGTGTCCCTGGGTCTGTGAATCAGTGTCGAGCCATTTCTGAACCCCTAAAACATGTTAAACAATCCTAGCGTGGTGGGTATATACAGTACACACATCTCCCTGTCACACTTGGAATTTTGTGCTTGTTGGTGGTCACTTCAGAGCTACAGCAGCTCGTATGATCCAAGCTCATGATTTTTATTGATAAACTTGAGTTACATGATATATGTCAACTAATTAATCTGATATGTTTTACAATCAGTGTTTATCCTCAATACTAAATGCAGTAACAGAAGTGATAATGATAGAAATAAGATTATAACTGAGAGGTGATGCAGGGAGAGCTTACAAAAATACTTCAGCCTCCCCTGAGTTTAAAAGTTTTCCTTGGTTTCCTCAGTCAATCGCTTTCTTACATTTAAGCTTCCCAAACAATCGTCGGCTGGTTTTTAAACGCTTATCTATTGTACGGAGAAAGACTTTGGAACAGTGCTTCATAACGCTGCCAGTTAAGATAAAGATTGTACTTCGCTGGGCATCAACAAATTTAATATTGCAAATGATGTGCGTTTTATAAACTTAAGACTTAGTATGTGGCACTTAATAACCCTGATAGTTGAAGCATCTGAAACTATAACCTATTGGACTGAAGGTGTAAAAGTAAGACATCTATGGCGTGTGTAAGGAGTCTTATAGTGTGTCTGTGTGCCTATGTAATAACTAGTGTGTCTGTGTGCCTATGTAATAACTTTCAGCTATGTTGGGGAAAGATAATTATTTCTTCGCAACACACACACTAATAATAACAGCATTATCAACAACAACAACAACAACAACAAAAACATCAACAATATCAACAAAATCAACAATAGCATCAACAAAAACAACATCAACACTATAATATAAATACTCAGAAGCCTTGCTAATGGTAACAAAAATGCCTGAAAATATCTGTTTCTTTAATTCTAAATCAAAACATATCATAGCGGACAAGTTTATACCGAAAGTTCTTTTACGGCATTTCCTGGAATCATTCTCAAGATGTGTGTGTGTGTATGTGTGCGTGCGTGTGTGTGTGTGTGTGTTCATATCACCTGCCATGGGATAAATTAACTTACACTGTATATGAAACAGATATGAAACCAAATAAACCATCAAAAACACGATAATTAACTCTAACCTAACCTAACCTAACCACTAATAACAGTACCTAACTTACCCTACCCTAAAATTAATAACAGACACCATTAGAATTATTATCACAATGGATGTTACTTCTAAGTTACTATAGAATCTTGTGTTTATTTTTATCATTCTGTGAGACAATGAAAAATGTTTATATTGAAGGAGAAACTGATTGTGATGGTGTGCCTGGGAACGAGTGGAAGCAAGTCGGTATGCTTGAGTCGAGAGGTGAAGTGGGGGGTGGGGGAAAGGGAGGAGGTGGGGAGGGGGGAGGGGCTGTGAAGGGGAAAGGGGAGTGGGTGTTAGATAGTGTTCAGAGTCCCTTCCTGGAAATTCGGATCCTGTGTAGCTGGTCTCCACAGTGGCAGCCAAAAGGTGAAATTGAGAGAGAGAGAGAGAGAGAGAGAGAGAGAGACTGTAAAATATAAACACAGTTACTGAGAGATAAAAATAAAAATTAAGGATGAGAGTGGAAATAAAAATAAGCGATAAAAAGAAGGTAGGCTGAAAGAAACAGGATGAAAGCAGAGAGAGCAGCGTTGAAGAAGACAAAATCAATAACGAGTGTAACTTTAAACCTCTTAGGACGATAGTTTAATCCGTTGAGAACAAAGGCTTAACATCTGAAGACGATGGTTTAATCTGTAGACGAGGAGATATGCTTATAAGGGACAAAACCCCACTAGATCTTAATGTTGATCCATATATGCATCTCAGTCACACACACCGAGGCGTGGCAAATTGTTCCTGAGATCTGTGCCATAAAAAACTATGAGTTATTTCACCACCTTAGGAAGGACAGGAGAGGTGGTGGTGTAGTTCTGTACTGTCGCAGTGACCTCAAACCATCACCCCTAGGTGTTACTGTACCTGAAGATGTAGAAGCCTTGTGGGTTCAGGTCACTCCCATCTCCCACCCCCGCCAGCTTGCCTCCCTCATTGTCTGTGTTTGCTATCACCCCTCCCCCCCACCCCCCCCTGCGCACCAACCGCTAATGTACCGATTACCCATATAATAGACACTGCTGACTCCCTGAGTTCCAGATTTCCATGTGCTAAACTAGTGAAATGCGGTGACTTCAATGAGTTAGACATCAGTGACATAACTCAACACCTCCACATTACACAAATAGTTGACTTTCCCACACATGGCAATGCCACCCTTGACCTCATCATGACTGATCTCGGTAACCACTACCTTCCCCCCAGCCGCTGCCTCCCATGGGACGCAGCCCCCACCTGTCCTGTCCTTTCGAAGGTGGTGAAATAACTCATATTTTTCTATGGCGCAACAAGGCATACTACACCAACAACCGCCTGTACAAAAGTCTACGTAACCAGGTCATCAGGGAAATCAAGTCGGCCAAGAAGACTAATTAACCCAGGAAAGTGCACGGCCTCAAGGAAGTCGGCATCGGTCAGTGGTAAAAGGTCTCTGTGGTCTCAACCGTCAGTCTCCCACACTTCCTTTCATCTCACATTTACCTAGTTAGGAGGCAGCTGAGATAATTAATAACCATTTTGCTACCATATGTCATACCTTACCCAGTCTTGACCTCACTCTCCTCCCGGCTTGCTTACCTTCCTCCTCCCTCCCTCCCAGTGTTCAACCATATGAAATCGCCAACAAACTCCAGAATTTAAATCCAAACGCTCCATGACCTCCCAATCAAAATATACAAGGAGTTTGCAGTCGAACTTGCTACCCCCCTCTGTTCTATTATTAATGCATCTCTCAGACAAAGCAAATGCCCTAATGAATGGAAAACTGCATTTGTCACCCTCATCCCCAAGGTCACCACCCCACAGTCCCCTAACGACCTCAGGCCAGTTGCCATTACCCCTATACCCAGTCTACTCTGTGAGGACTTTGTTTTTGAGTGGGCATTTGCCAGAATCTATTAGTCAATTGACCCACAGCAATTTGGCAATATGAGGACTTCTTCTACATCACCCTGCTTAGTGAGTTTTCTGGATTTTCTGCACAAAAACCTGCAAAAACGTAAGACATCACTGGCCGTTGCCCTTGTTGACTTCAGGAAGGCCTTTGACCTTGTTGATCACTGCACTGTTATCAACAAGGCCATTGCACTAGGGCTGCCCACCAACCTGGTCTCATGGCTCACTGATTTCTTGAGTGGACGTCGTCGGGCAGTGAGGTATCAGGGCTCGGTCTCCACATTCCAACACCTCACCTGCGGTGTTCCCCAGGGGACCAAGATGGGACCACTGTGCTTCCTCATCCTGATCAATGATGCTCTATCGGACACTCCTCACAGGTGGAAGTACGTTGATGAGTGCACTGTGGGGGTTTCAGTGGACAACACCACACCAGACTAATCATCGCTACAAGGCACCCTGGACAGGCTACAGGCATGGACTACGGAGAACAAGGTCACCATCAACCACACCAAAACAGTAGTCATGCACATCAATACCGCCACCACTCCAGTGCAAGCCCCAGCAGCCACAGTGGGTGCCCATCCTCTCCAGCTGGTGCAGTCTGCCAAACTCCTAGGTGTAACTATAGACAACAAACTGGGCTGGAAGGCCCATGTAAATAACACAGTCAAGGCAGCCTCGTACCGTCTCTACATGCTATGGCGACTTAGGTCACTTGGGACACCCATGCAGAGCTGAGGACCATCTACAACTCCTTTATTCTCCCCAAACTAACATATGCATCACCAGCCTGGTCGTCTTCTCTCGACTCCACCCAACAATGTCGGCTTGAGAAGGTACAGAAAAGGGCCTGCAGATTCATGCTCGGCGCAGAATACTCTGGCTACATCAACGCTCTCTCCATCCTGGAAATACCATCCCTCAGTGACCTCCACCACCAAGCACTGGAAAGGTTTGGCAGCCAACTAATGCACCACCCTCGTCATCGCGACCTCCTGCCACCAGGAGCCCCCAACCCACCTCGCGCAGTCCGCCACTACAACACAATTACAACACAATTCAGCCCATAAGAGCCCGCACCGATAGATATAAGAACAGCACCATCCCATCTATTGTTAAAATAATAAACAACTCCTGATTTATGTACTGTACAGCCCTGTAAATGTATTCAACGCATATTATATCATTATGTCGAAATCAAATGTAAGTCTGTATATTTTCAGCCACCGGCTGCAACTCTATTAATAAACCGTTTATTATTATTATTATTACGCACACACACACACACACACACACACATACACACACACACACACACACACACACACACCAGGGCAAGATACTCTGCAGGTGACTTACTCCAGCAGCAATATGCATTAATTATCCTAATGAGCTCAAGAAATTTCATGAACTGAGAGAGCGAGAGGAGGCGAGGACCCGAAACCTGACTCGTGTGTAATCTTGGTTCAGTCAGTCGGGTGCGTTCTCAACACTCCCTTGGGTTGCTGAATTGGGGGAGAATAGTTACCTTGGGAGGGAGAATTTCCTTCAGTAATAGTATGTTTAGAGTTTTTTATTATTATCATTTCTGTAATTTGGTGTAATAGGTCCTTATATTTTAGGGAATATTTTCCGATTAATTCTTGAAATCCAATGGAGTTTAAATAAGGAAAAAAATACATTATTTCAATCCTGTTATACTTTCATGTAGGTATATATAGTGTTCGATATGTTACGTTATTTTAGTACAGATGGTAATTATTCATAGTTTAGACTGTGTTTATTGACGTTTTCTTTATGTGCACTTCAGTTCAAATATGATATGACGTAAACACTCTTGATATGACGTAAACACTCTTCATATAACGTAAACACTCTTCATCTAACGTAAATACACTAGATATGACGTAAACACTCTTGATATGACGTAAACACTCTTCATATAACGTAAACACTCTTCATATAACGTAAACACTCTTCATATAACGTAAACACTCTTCATCTAACGTAAATACACTAGATATGACGTAAACACTCTTGATATGACGTAAACACTCTTTATATGACGTAAACACCCCTCCACCAGGATTTGTTTGCTTCTCCTCGAGGCAGAAAATGCACCACTATATCGTGTTGCGGACTTATACCGATGAATTTGTCTTGTTGCCATTATGGGAAAGTCGATCAAGTAACTCTGCCAACACCGTAAATAACGTTAAGAGATTAATACATCTTTGTAATGGCCCCACGACACTGTTCATGCACTTGTTTACATTATACACTCACGAGGGCGTTAACAAATCATACACGAACGATCTTATTTTGTATAATATTGCTGTATGCTTTTATTTATCTATCTTGAATAACCTTTGCTAAATATTTCCTGTTATTTATGCCCTTTTATACAGCGTTTATTTTTTTATGAGTTTTGTAGAGTCAGTTGTTATAATCGCGGAGAAATAGTGAGAAATACTCTTTGGCTTAAGGGTAATTATATTGGACGTATAAATATTTTGTTGACCCTGATAGTAGAAGGTCACAGGTCAAGTGCCAGTTGTTTGATGTTAACTGTATACATATTCCTTCAAAGACAGACCTTCTCATTATATTCTTTTTCTTTTCCACATAAGTAGTCGACCATGGAAACACAACCTGGGTAAAAAAAAAAATGAAACAGGTTGCCTTTCACCTCCTAATTGTTCATTTCGTTGCCACATTCACCACACACACCCCTAATAATTTCAATGATATGTTTCCTTGATTTCCACAATAACCTTCCAGTAATGTTATTTCCCAATCATCCAATATTGTTTTATGATTCTCCCTCTCTGCCTTTCTCTGTATTCTTCATCACGTTTCATGTTTGATTGAACTTTTACAGTAGACCCTTATCTCACCCACACCTTTTGTCTCTCATTGGCTGTACGTGATGACAGAGTAACGTTTGATTAATTAAGATAATTCAGCAGGTGTTTCAGGTGTTCTTCAGGGTTCATACCAGGGATTATAAAACATGATTTTTTTAAGTACCGATCATTAGGTCTTAGGTCTTAGGTAGAGTGTACTTCAACTGCCAGGCTTATTAAGTACCGTTCACTAGATCATAGTTTTAGTTTACTCGGCTGCCATAGGTACAAAACACAAGTACCTGATCTAGTGATAATACAAACACTACATGAAGGTCGCATTTTGGAGTCTATGGTCGAGTACAAGTGTAATACCATAGTCTTCCCCTCAGTTTCATCAAGCTGTGGTCCAGGTTTTCTTTGATACAGTGATGCTCTAACTTAAAATGTTTTTATTTCCAAGCGTTTTACACGTATCCCCTTATGATGGGTTATATTAAACTCTCGCAATACCTGTAATATTATGTAAATAAACTTACCTTGTAGTACTAAAGCCTCTTTTTTCAACCATACTTTTTCTGTACAGTAGTGATGTATAATTTTTAATCAAGAATTTCAATCTATCGCCGCAACTTTCACAATTATGTCAGAGTCATAATCTAGATAAACTAACTTAATATACATGCTTGAAGACCTTGCCTATTATATCATTACCAATACAACAACAACAATCTTTTTTTTAAGAATCTTTCCCAAAACATTTCCTTATTTATTATTCGAATAATACCTTACCATAACGTTCATCAAATTAGGTTTAAATTCATATTACGGAAATTCACCTCATAATGTAAACACTGTGCCATAATTTCTAAATGGTTTATGGTGTCCGTCGCCTCGCCTCAACAGGAAGACACGACTCGCGGACAATAGCCACCAGGTTTGCAATTAATTACGACGGTGCTGTGGTATGTCACTGTCCTTATGTGACCACGTGTGTGTGTGTGTGTGTGTGTGTGTAAGTAGGTCCTTCCGCTCCTATAGTGAGGACTGATGGAAGAACGAGATAGGAGTGGATGTGGAGAAGAGAGATAGAGGCAGAGCAAGTGAAGATTAAAGGGTGAAATAAAGAGAGAGAGAGAAAGAGACGGAAAGACATATGACAAGACCATTACAGTAAGCCTCGTGTCAACATTATCAGTAGCATCTAAGTTTTTCTAACACGTGATTTTTCTCCCTGAGTGATGGACCAAGACGACGCCTTCCGGAAAATTCGCCAGACAAATTCCCAGACATTCGTGGTTTACTTGTCTTATCAACGTGTGTGTGTGTGTGTGTGTGTGTGTGTGTGTGTGTGTGTGTGTGTGTGTGTGTGTGTGTGTGTGTGTGTGTGTGTGTGTGTGTGTGTGTGTGTGTGTGTGTGTGTGTTGTTGTTGTTGAGGATTTTCTAGAATAAATCAACCAAGTTTTCTATCATCCACTAAATATTTCACACGTTGATCGGCAAAACTCATCAGCTGGAAGAATCAAACTTTGGGATTAGAAAAGGAAGAGGAAAAAAATGCACTGGAGACATAGAAGGAAAGGAAAAGGAGAAACAAGTACGGACAGGGGAAAATACGAGGACGGAAAGATAATTAACAGATAACAACAAAAGTGGAGGGGATATTACTCCAGGTAGGATATGATGAGCTTAGACTATGGCTCCTGTAATGCTCTCAGGTGGGCTGCTAATTGTGGGTCTTATGTATAAATAGATAAATGTTTATGTTTGTAGTATACATGTATATAAGACGCCGTGTTAAGGGTAAGGTAATTGGACTTAGGGATATGGAAGGTATAGCTATAAGAGTATGTATAGAAATAGCCTATATAGGGAGATATAGCTAAGGAGTATAGTCACAGATACTGTATAGAAGTGGACAATAATATCTCACCAGAACAACGACACAGAACGAGAGAGAGACTTCAGAAGACAATGAGACGCCACTGTAACTAATAATTTTTTATCACTGTAAGTTTAGATAAAGAAACACGATACACTAAGATCCTTGAGCCCTGGCTAACTATCTTTCTTTACCTCTTACAAGTCTATTTATAACTTCGTGCTGTATTATGTATGTCATAAATGAAGGAAAGTGGAAAATGTATTGATAAATAATGTATGATTGTATATTAAGTTTCTTACCTATAAGATTCCATTCCCCGTTCGTGATGTATCCGCTGAGGTCACCGCCATCATCACTTTTAAGCTGAAGATCAATCTGTAAGAAAAACACAATAGTGAAATAATCTGTAGTTACAAATAAAATATTATGTATAGCATGAATTAAGATAATAAACATTAAATCACCTGAACAATGGCAGAGGCAAATTGATAATGATATAGGTAAGAGAGGTTTCAGTTTAGCCATGTCTGGTGGACGTGCGCTAAGTTCTCGTGAAAGATTTGTTGACATCAAAAGTTAGCGAGACACGAGCCTTAGCCCCAAAACAAAGAAGTGACCGTCTGGGGGAAGGGGGGGGGGGGTAAATTCCTAATTGCTCAGGTTCCTATTAGAGATAAATCTTAATTTTTTAGTAGTTGACTTCTAGTATATTGTCTAGTTTCGAAATACCTACATGAAGACCTTAGTTATTGAAACGTTGTAGAACATGCCATCAATATCACTTACAAAAATGAGTAATACAGTAGATAAAAAATACAAAAATAAGGCGTAAATGAAAGGTTTTGTTTTGATTAATCACCTATACACGGACTGCTGTTCTTCTTCTTCTTCCTCTTTTCAATATAATATGTCGTGAATGTACCTGATGGAGCAGTTTAAATATGTTGCCATGATAAACAGAGCGATAGTACTCTTTGACAGCACCTGGCAGTATTGTGATCATTAGGTTTTGCGTGGACTATAGTGGTGGGGATAGTAAAATGAATTACATGTTACTAAGGTGGACAGGAGAGAGAGAGAGAGAGAGAGAGAGAGAGAGAGAGAGAGAGAGAGAGAGAGAGAGAATATTACATCTCTAAGCACCATAAACACTTCACCTCCTCAGGTTTCACTACTCTCAGGGGCAGAGGCACATTTTACCCTTGTTTATCGTGTGTTAATCAGCGGGAGTGGTCATGTTGCTTCCTATCATGGCATCCCGATTTTAATCCTCACAAGATGAAAAGTTATTCACTGAAGATTACAAGTATTTTTTTTTTACTTTTATCTCGTAGAATTCTTCCTGTTGTACACCTGAGGGTTCTACACGTAAATTAAAGGTAATATATTTTTTTTTTACAGTGAGGAATTTTTTTTATTATGTGTGAGTTGTGTATTTTGTTCGTGTTTATTATTATTATTATTATTATTATTATTATTATTATTATTATTATTATTATTATTATTATTATTATTATTATTATTATTATTATTATTATTATTATTATTATTATTATTATTATTATAATTATATTAAAATTATTAATATATATTTTTCTTTCGATTACATATTACTACTTTAAGACGGAGAGAATGCTGGGAACAGACAGATACTCAGACACACCTCATATTTCCTAAGAATTCCGACAAAACGAAAACTCTTCTTATGTATATACATAGAACACCATCTTGAGTTACTGAACCGAGTGAAGTAAAACTCTATAACAATTAGTAGATGGGAATATGTCACCCTTGAGCGATAGCTTTAGTAGTACACCTTACCATACATGTTTTATAAGTCTTAGATGTTCAAGAGAAACTGATACGTCGAAATACATGTCCCACTATCAGTCAATCTCAATAGTCAATAGGAGGTTGAATTCCTTTAGGACTTCAATGTTCGTATCTGCACTAAGCCATTTGCATACCATTTGTGTTTCAAGAATTCTGTTTATCTCTTCTGTTGCTTACTCTTGATACTGTGTGTGTGTGTGTGTGTGTGTGTGTGTGTGTGTGTGTGTGTGTGTGTGTGATGTAGCCTCCGTCAAAGGCTCTTAGGAGTACGAGTGATCAGGTACCTCTCTAAGGGATAGGTTGCTGCTCTTACTTCTTTCCCTTAGTCAGCTTTTGTAGGCAACAGAGATTATTCCTTTGATAGTGAGTCAGTCAGTCAGTCAGTCAGTCAGTTGAAGTGAATTGGTTGCTTTTTTCCCCGGGTATATATTCTAGTCTTGTCATTATACCAAATCTCACACCAAAATACTTAGGGAAGGATATTATTTCCCTCTATAGAGTTTGTTTGTATTACCTGTACTATCTATGTACATTGTAAGACTTCATGGACATTACTCAAAGTCTCTACCGGTAACTATTATCACGACAAGGACACAGTATATCTCTCATAGGTGGGAGTCGCTGTAGAACGGCTTTGACACTCTGGGGATGATGATGTTACTACTGGCACGACATGTCTCTCTTAAGTGATGATCAGTATGGGAAAGACTGTATATTAAGTAATTCTGTAATTCGATTTGAGATTTGTTTCAATATTCTAGCATGTACGAGTATTTATATTGTCCACATTATACTCTTAACCTGATGATTATTATTATGAAGTTGTCATATGTGCTAGTTTAGGTGTGTTTATATGATGAATGTATATGGTGTTCCTTGATGAGTAATGGGGGTGGTGTGTGATGTATTTCCCCACACACAAGGAGGTTTAGGAGAGGCAGGCGTGTTCATATGACACGTTCAGGGGTGTAAATATTAATAAGTGATAAAACTAATATTTATTCCTTAATTAATAATGGACGCGACAGCCATTTAACTTAGAAAATTCTTACACAAATCTAAGATACTGTTTATGTAAGTAGAAGAAGGATATGCCTTCAGTGTGTGTGTGTGTGTGTGTGTGTGCGTGTGTGTGTGTGTGGTTTCGTAATTTTAATTTTCTTGGCGCCTGAGGTGACCTGATAAGGATTATTTCTCAGGTTGGAAGTCCAAAATAAAGTGTTGGTAATTAGGTTAAAGTAAGTCAGTCAGTATAGTGAGATTCAGTGGTGGTTGAAAAGTAGTATGATAGTGTGTTGTGTGTGTACAGTAGAAGTTAATTTTATGCCAATGGGGTCAAAAATCACTCATGTTTGGTAACCGTGAAGCTTTAAGGTGAGTTACGGAATCCTCATTTTTTACGGGTTGCCTTATGAATCATATGTATCATATGAATCATACATATATATATATATATCAACCACCCCAAAGTTGGTGGGATGGAAAATGAACAATAGCAACCAACTGACGCCATTAACCACAATTATACGTTTATAGTTTTCGCTCGATTTTTCATACTGTTACGCACGGCAGGGAGGTCGAGAGTTTGTTTTATGGACTGAGTCTGAAGGTGAAGGGAAATTGTACAAAATGGTTGATTTAGCACTTACGTTTTGTATCTTATTGATCTTATTTATTAATTTGATCAAAATTATAACCAGGCTAAATATATCTTATGAAAAAGAGATCATCGTGAACTCATAAGGTAGCTGTAACCTGGTTCTTGAGACTCAACAAGACCGAACCAAGCTGCTGGTGACACAACGCCGCTGGGAAATCAACAAACCTTTTCAAATTTACCAGACAGAATCGGTGGGAAAGATACACGTACAGACTCACTCCTTAATAGAGGTGAAGTTCAGAGGCTCAAAGCTTCAGGTCCATAGACTCACTATATATTTGTCCACCATTGACTCATACACACACGTTCAAAAAACAGCATCATGTCAACTTTGATTCACTAATTTGACCTTTAACGTATGTCACTAAAAGATTCCTGAAAGACAAAGAGGGCGTCGCTCTGAAGTAACCTGTGTTTAGTGTCTGTTACCAAATAATAAGACCCGTGATCAGTTCTTATTTAGTTTGGTAGGTTAAGCAGTTTATATCTATAACAACAACAACAACATTGACTCACGATTATACGTAATTATGAAAAAGTGTTGTTTGGTGAAGAAAACTAAAACCTAATTAGCTGTGCTTAAAAATACCTGTTCGCTTAAATAGCTGGATATAAACCACAACAGCAAGGAAAAGATCCCTAGAATAATATAATGTATGTAGTATAACGAGAACCGTATATACATAACGTAGATGTAGGAAACATTTAGTCAATAAAATATCAACCTGTGTAACTTTCGCCGGTCAGAATCTATTGACTCTCTCGTGTATATCACCCCCAGTCTCTTCTCTATAAACAATCCTGTGTTAGTTTGTTTATTGTGAAACATTGGTTGCGAGGAGGAGGACAAATATTAAAAGCAAAATATATAACTGAGGTCACGGACTGGGTGAATTTAAATCAAGGGTCCATGAATAAGCCGGAGGAAGAAACAATTAAGTGAAACGGCAACTGCAGGAGATGATCTGCATTTTTATGAAGGATTGGGAAAGAGGGGGGAGGGGTGGGGGAGGTCAGACTCACTACGACACACCCGACTGCCTGGGTGTTGTGACCAAGGGCAGGTCACCTTTGTGTCACCTTTGTTTTGATACGCCTGGGTTATAGTCTCCGTGTGTTGCCTTAGTGTTGCTTTGTCACATACCTGAGATAGAAGACTTCATGTGTAACCTCTGTGTCATACACCTGGAGCAACTATGTCATTGAGTGTCGTCAGGTTGAACTCCATTATTTTTTTTTTAATTACACTTACACGTCATCAAGTACGAGAGAACAGACACTTTAATACACTTAAGACACTTTAATACACTTACATAGGGATTATAAACACTATTTTGTCTTTTTTTTCGGTGTATCTCTTTCATAAAACAAAGGAGGAAGACAATAATAAGATATAAAGCGATATAAAAAGCTAAGATAAAATTGGCAGCTAAAGAGACGAGGAGAGATATAGCTGATATCAAATGTTAATAGGTATAGGAATTATAATCATTTAAATAAAGAATGTAGACTAGAGAAGGGAATAATACGTTTAAAAACAATGAAAAACGAAACGAAATAGAAAAAAAAGATATATAAAAGATGATGGAGAGAGAGAGAGAGAGAGAGAGAGAGAGAGAGAGAGAGAGAGAGAGAGAGAGAGAGAGAGAGAGAGAGAGAGAGAGAGAGAGTTGGACAAAAAGCACTCTCGCTCCCGCAAAATACGGAGAGGTGTAGAACTCTACGTACATCACAACCCACGTTTCATTTACTCTCGCCCTCGTTCATATTATTACCAAGGCGTCACCTTAGACTCTTAATGATGGGGTTACCGGATTATTTACTTATTGTGGTATAATACTTGAAGAAGAGATTATAGAAATAGGAAATAGCCATACACAAC